CAAGACTAAATTCCTATCCTGCTCCTTCTCAGAGCCTCCCACTCCAATTACTCCATCCCCCTTCCCTCTGTCACACCCTCACTTTCACCAAGGTAAGGCAAGGGTGTGGTGTCCGTGGGCAGTTAACCCCGTTAGTGGGCCTCACCATAAGAAAAGTTTCTTGATCTAGTTTTTTATTTTTGTCAGTGAGAGAAGTGAGATATTTAACTCATTTAGGCATTCAAAGACATCTACCAGGTACGCTAGCAAAGCAAGCCACTTGGCATTTGCAATCTTTACGGAGTCAACTGAAAGAAAAATTCTCACTTCCTTTCAGAGCATAAACTTCGGTTTGATAAAATAACTGATGATGCTCAGCTCCCATCTCACCCCACAAAACTCTGAAGAGATATATACTCATTGAGCTGCTCTTGATAAAATTGACTGTGTGAAATTTCATGATGAAGCTGGTTTTAGACAATTGGCACATTATTTTTAGCTACTAGCACTTGCCTGCGTATAAAATAGTGAATCCAAATTGCTTGCGCCTGAACTTGAATGACTGGCCTGCTGTTTTTCTGAGTTATTGCACAAACACTATCGCTGCAAATTCCTATATCATGCTACCAGTCCAGGCCAAATTCAGAAAAAAAGCATCCAAAAGTGTAAAGAGCTGTTCCCCTTTAGCTATAGTAATAGTCAGTAGAACAGATATTCCTCTTGTTTCGGAAGTTTTTCATCATTCTCAAATTTTATGAATGTTGGCATTTGAACAGCTCCTGCAACATCTGCTGTTCTCTCAAGCTGAATGAGGAAAACAAGGGACTTAGAATTTTGGTGATCACTTGTTCAGTCACAGCATCGTTTGCCATACTTCACATTTACCTGGCAATACTGTCATGAGACAGGGAAATTGAATCAAGCTAGACCTTGTCCCAATATAAGTTTCTCCAGTAGTGCGTGGTTTCCCAGTTTTATCTATCCAGTATGACACAGCCAAAGAGACCTGAAGGGCTTTCTCATTTGTTGTAGCTGCCATTCTCAGTATTCTTTTCTGGCCCCATAGCTCTCGCCACTGTTGCTGGGATGTAGGGAACCCAAGTGTTTTTTAGTAGAACTGCACCTTGTCTACAAGGCTACATCTACACTGCACTGTAGTTTGAAATGAGATACGCAATTTGAGCTATGCAAATTGTAAATGTCAAAATAACCTGCTATTCCAAAACGTCCCTTACTCCAGTTGCAGTGTAGATGTAGCGCTAGACCCTGCTGATGAGTGGTAGAAGAGTGAGGGCAACAGCTTCAGCAGATGTTACTCAGTGTGCTTAGTCCAAGTGAACATGCTCAGTACAATCCACCAGGCCATTGGGTATAGGAGGCCCATGACCCATGTGCTCTCTCATCACTGGCAAAAGCCACATTTCAGCATATTTTAAGCCCTCCTTTGCCAGAACTTCACCAAATGCCGCACACTGTGGCCATGGATTCCCTCCAAAAAAGCATCCAAAAGTGTAAAGAACTGTTCCCCTTTAGCGTGCTATAGTAATAGTCAGTAGAACAGATGTTCCTCTTGTTTGGGAAGTTTTTCATCATTAATCCGTATTTCAGATTGTATGTGCAGTTCCTTGGTTTATTACTTCTGCTTGGCTCCTGTCATGAGCTCTTCTTTTGCTGCAAGTGGCCACCAGCTCCTATTCATTACCCCCTTTCCTTCAGAAAATGGTCCTTTGCTAAAATTATTTCTACAGTAACCTCTCAAACTGGCTGTAACCATAATATATGCCGATGGCTTGCTTAGTAACAAATCTGGAGCTGAGTAGAGGAAGTGATGCTCAGAACTGAGGTTGAGGTTTGGAAGCAGGGCAGCTGACTGTTGGCCCCATGCCACAGCGTTCACAAGTTGCTCAGGCTTAAAGCCCCACTGTTGTGGGGCTTGGGCTCTGGCTGTCAGCCCTGTGCACAGCAGGGTTCCCCACTATCGGTGTGGGGCTGACATCCCGAGCCCTGCCATGTGCATGGTTGAAATTTGCTGTATGAAACTCATGGAGCAGAGGCCTCCACCCTTCCCCGATGGCTTTGGCCTGAGCTCGACGATTGCAGGACTTCATCTGGGGCTTTCTGCCTTGGCTTGCAGCTAATCTAACACTGGCTCTGGCAACCCTATTAAAATGGGGTAGTGACCCACTTTGGGCTCGCAATCTACCCTTTGAGAGCCACTATAAAGTGTTTCCCTGTTACGTGCAGTTTATTTTTCTGTTTCCTGGCAGGGCTAAAGATATTTTAGGAGACAAAGAAGAGTCACTGCCATTCAGAGCTTCTCTTTCCATACTGAGAAATCTGTATAGAAATAGCAAAAGAAGCTTTTCAAATAGGGAATGTGGAAAGAAGCTAACAAGATTATTGCAAAGTCCTTCAGGCAAGCAGTTACCTTGTTTTCTTTATTCCTCCTTACTTAGGAAATGTTCATCAAATTTTTCATTGAGACTTTTCAGATACAGTAAAGGAAGAAAAGTACAAATTAATAAGAAAACCTCTTCCTACCCTGCAATTTGTCCTAGAGAGCAAGAAATGGTGTGGGTATGAGAAGCGGTGGGGAGGGTTGTGTGTATATGTTTGGGCATGTACATGTAAAAGAGAATAACAAATACCATTTCACAAGAGCAGTATGAAAATACTACCTGTCTTTTTGTCTGTTAGCTGTACAAGTTCCATCTGTATATAAAGAAAATAAAGCATGTGTTTTTTAAAACATGACTAAACTGCCGAACATAAATATAAATGTACGTTCATAAAGCTAATTTAAAAACTGTGTTCAAAGTCGAGTTCCTTTTTTATTTAAAACAATGGGAAAGACATTCTATCATTTTTAATCTGTTTTGATAACAACAGTGGAATGATTTCTCTAAATAAAAATCTAATTTTCTCTGTTTAAAAATACCATTGTTGTAGTCTGTGATACTAATTACGTAATTCTAAAACATTGCTGAAAATTTTCCTTTAAACATCAGCAGGAGAAAAATACATTGTTTTATGAAGAGTGGTTGCATATAGAGTCCAGTCCTGAAAATTGCTGAGAGACTTCTGTGGGGTGATAGTATTCTGTAAGGTGCTAGGCACATAGGGTTTCCCAACAGAATATAAGATTTTTAGGATACAACTCTCACAAATGCCCTATAAGCACTATCTGCAATTGAGGTGTGGAGTCACAAAGGAGATATTTATGACTCCCAGACACTGAAGCCATGCTACATGGCCCACCCATAAAAATAATTTAGAAGTGCCTATATAATATGCCTTCCTTTTCCTCCCAGCCATGCTCCTGAACCAGACTGAATTGGGAAATGTGTTTGGTTGTGTAGGTGCTGTTACCCTGGCTGAATCCCCAGCAACCTTGAGAAGCCCAGGGCACTACTGGTGCCAAGAATCTCACACCAGAGCCTAGGCTAGGAGATCGCCACAATAGTAACCTAGGTTACTACGTAATATATGATAATGAAAATAATTATCATAAGATCAACCTGATTTTTGCAGTCCTGCTCTACGCTAAGTAATGCATATGCCTGAGTCATTCCCTTGAGAAAAGGTTGCACAATCCATCCTATAGTTTCTCTGTGTTAAGAATTTCAGGAAGGAATTTAAAGGGATAATAGATGCTAATAGATAAATAAATTTCTGCACTATAATACCATGCCATCAAAAGTAAATAAAACTTACAAAAGGCAAACAATTTAACTGAGATGGCACAAGTAGCAGGGATTTAAATATGGATCTGTAGTTTGTGACTTTAACCTATGGGCCTGTAAATAGTCTCATATGCATGTTTTGCTTTAGCTAAGAAGAACAGTATTGCAAGGACTATGGCACATCCACATTTTTTACTAAATCCCATCACACTCTAGAATGGCTCTCCCACATTAATTCAACTTGAGAATTGAAGTGAGAGCAAAAAAATCAATGAGAGGAATGATCAATATGTATGACCTAATGTGTTGTATTATTTTTCCTCAATTAAATTTCTATTACATAGCTTAATCCAGACAACAGGCAGGTAAACAAGGAACAAAAAGTGATAGCTAGATAATGTTAATCTAATAAAAAAACAAGTGATTTTCAGCAGCCGACTGAAGCAGCTAATAATTCATCTATCTCTGTATTAAAATAGTTTCCTGGATATACCTAATATATCATGGCCTGCATTTATTGTCCAGAACAGAAATCTAATAACTGTTTAGTAAGAATACAACACTGTTCTGAACACTGCATGAAGTCAGAAGAAGAGAAAAAACCAGTGAGTCCCAGAAATGCTCCAAATGGCATTTTTTAACACAATAAATACCTCAAAAAATCCATGCAACTAAAGAATCCAAAGCCTCTAAAATTAGAAATAAAAGGCTTGCATGATATATGTGCAAGTGCTTGTTTCTATCTATGAGGGTGTGTCTCAACTACACCCCTCTGTCGGCAGAGGGATGTAAATTAGACACACCGAAAGTGCAAATAAAGCTGGGATTAAAATATCCCGTGCTTCATTTGCACAATGGCAGCCACCACTTTTTTCTGAAATGGGACTTTTCAAAAAGAAAAAAAAAACGGCAGTTTAGACAGGGCATTTTTTACAGAAATGCCCCATTTTGAAAGATCCTATACCCATTTTTTGAGGAGTACAGGATGTATCGAAATGGGACATTTCTGTCAAAAATGCCCTGTCTAAACTGCCGTTTTTTTTTTCTTTTTGAAAAGTCCCATTTCAGAAAAAAGTGGTGGCTGCCATTGTGCAAATGAAGCACGGGATATTTAAATCATAGCTTCATTTGCACTTCCGATTTGTCTAATTTACATCCTGCTGCGGTCAAAGAGGTGTAGTTTAAACACACCCTTGATGAATACAGTATTCTGCAGTTTATGAGAAAATTATGAGAATATGCATCAAATATTTGAGAACTTGTTTTTTCAATGCTACAGGCTTTTAGACACTTGCAGTAAACCACTAACTATGTCCTTTTTGCTCTCTCTTTCTACAGGTATTCCCAGTATTTCCAGTATTGGTAGTAAGTAATAAGAAGCAAATCTAGAATAGCTTTGCTATGTTATTCAGCTTCTTAGCTCTATTTTCCCAACATCCATTTCTGTTGTAGATAAGGTTTCACTGAATGTGCTTTACGGTAAGGAGACTATATTATTGACTTTGCCATGCTACATTTACATGTAACTGCATTATGTGATCAGAGAGAATCTGATATGTAGCTTATGACAGTACATCTGTCTGCAAACACAGCTTCTTGATCAGCAAATAAAAGTGTTAGCATTACAGATTGGAACATCAGGATGGCAGATGGTAAGAAACTATTATCAAGTACATTTTCCAAAACACCAAACTTTGTTAATATCCAAGAAGAGTAGAGTCCTTAAAGCTGTATGCATGAATAGATAAACAAAGGGAGGAAATGGAAGAATACACTAAAAACAAAAAGAAATAAGTTTTAATCTAGTGAATATAGTGTATTAGAGTTTTTTGATTGATTCATAGATTCCAAAGAAAGAAAGGGACAATGGTAATCATTTAATCTGATCTTGTATAATACAGGCCATAGAACTAAATTAGAGAATATCTTTTAATTTACATAAGTGAACTCCAGTTCAGGCCTTGAAAAGAAGGTTCTTTATTAAGATTCATTTTATTGTGTAAAATTAAAACATTTTAAACAACTGATAGAATATGAAATTGCCTTTTTAAAAAGATCAGTTCTTGTAAATAAAAGAACAATGAAAAAATGGTGTTTGAGTCAAACCGACCTACAGATATAGTCATAGAATGATAGCTAATTAGATATAAAGCACCAAAGCAGAAAAGTTATCTTTCAGTAACTGCGTGAATAAATGTTCCTTCACAGCCTTTACTATGCATAGGCAGTAGGCACAGGTTTTGTGCTATGAGGGTCTATCATAATTTAAGCAGTGTCAAAAGAAGATTTACAATACCTGATCTCTGGCTGAAAAGCATACTCTAATAATTTGGATAAAGCTGCTGCCTTGCTTCTTATAAATGCGTGGTCAGGTCTTTCAATTATAAATCAGTTCAGTTTATTTAAGCTCATGAATAGGCTTAGGCGCTGATTTGTTAAGCACTAGATAAGCATGTTAAATGCCATCAAAACTAGCCTCTTTGTAAATTAGAGTAGTGTTTTTTATCCATTTAAATTCCAGCTTAATCCTATGGCATCCAGTTTGCAACCTTAAATAGCAAAACATCATCAATGACAACTTGCCAATGAAAGTCTTCAGTTTTGATAGTCTAAATTTTCTGCTTTAGTGTCTCTCTCCCTTGACATTTGCTTCACTACAAATGCACAGTGATGTGCTACTTTCACAACCTGACAATTGCATTTGCACATGTAGTTTGTATGAAAAAAAGGAACTAACTAGAATGCAGTAAACAGACTATCAGCCTATTATTATCTGGAATCCCACTGACATAAGTAACAGAAATGGATATAGGGCAAAATAGCTCTGTGGAGCTCAGTTGTGCTATTGTTTGTCAATGCTGTGTTGCATGGACTACATTGTTGTGATTTTTCACTTTACACTCCATACAGCCTTTTTCACCACATTTACCATCTCTGAGCATCAGCAGACGTTGGCTTTTGAATACTTAATAGGGAAAGTCAAGTGTTTTTTAATCAATGGTGACCTGAAAGGATGCATTGTTGACCTCTTTGAATTCTGTGAACTTATACAGTCAGGTGATTAGTGTCATTTACTTTTTAAAATGGACAAGATTCCATTTCACATCCTTTAGGAAATACTGTAGTTACTGCAAGTCTTTGTATTATCTTTAATATATTTGGTATGGATGTCTTTTGAATGAGATGAGGCAGGATTCAACAAATTTCCCTATCCATGTAGAATGTATGAAGCATTAGCACCAATTTCTGAGTTCACAAAGCGATGACTATATTATTTGGCTTCTCCCCACTACATTTCTCTTCCCCCTGCAGGGGCGTTGAATAGATCGGGGGAAAAGTGGCTGTTCATTGGTACAATTTTCTAAAGGCCTTTCCTATAGGATAGAAATAACAGAATTTTCATTAAACAATGGAGAACCCTTTGATTTTTCTTGGTCCTACTCCACTATGTCACTAAGTTTTAACAGAATACAATCAATACTTAAAAAGCAAACATGATTAATTACTTGAGGCTGCTTTAATGAATTCTGCCAGATTTCTTCTTTTGTCTATGTTAATACGATATTTGCATTCATATCAGTAGATTTCTGTCCTCAGCTGGGGACAGGAAATTATTCTCAGGTGACAGGGTTTTTTGCCTGCTAGGAAACAATAAACTAGTATATTGGCTATTGAATGCTTCAAGGTTTTACCAGTTTAATACAGAAAAAATTAACACAAAACTGCCTACAAAGAAAATGTCGATGCAACAGATGTTCATGTAACATCCATAAGACTTTTATGATCAAAGAATGCCCAAAGAAAAATCAACAATATGTATATTTATCTGTTTACATATATGTATAATACTGTATTCTCTTTTATCTCAAAGCATCTCATATTAAAGCAGCACATCATTAAAGTTTAAACACAAAGAAAGAGTGGTCATTAAGTAAACATCCTTTCTGATCATCCACCAAAAAAAAATTAAACTAGAGCTTTCCCATTAAGGTCATTTGTACCTGCTGTTGTTTATCAATTGAGTAATAAGTTCTTTGATCATTTCAAGCATACTTGAATCCAGTGCTGGTCTTTACAGTATTTTTCAGCCAAGCCTGGAAAAATACTGATGAGATTGTTAGCAATTTATGAATCCCAAAACCATTTCATAATTATGTAAGCTTTTATGATCAATTATGTCTTCAATGAATTTGTAAAAATTATACATAAAGTTATTCTGACTTACTTTAAATAATCACTATGTAATTGGATGTAGGCAAATACATCAACATCTACTCTATTGTGACCAAATAGCAAAGTTATTAGCTTGTACCTGTATGCCTGACTTTAAAAAAAAACTTTAATCTTCTATCAGCTAACTTCTGTCCTCATTCCTGTGGAGCATAATTTCACTAATTATGCTAAACAGTTTGTTATAAAGAGTATAATTAGACATGGGATAGGATTGACATGATGTGCAAATAGCTTTGTGTGGGTGATTATCACCTCTGAAACCTACTGGCTGCAGATGAGTCAGAGTTTAGCGACAGACCATATATTGAAATGCAAGAGGCAATCAAGATAATCAAATGGTATTTTATGTTTTGCTTTGTGTTTGTTTTTTGTTTTTCTAATTGCTAAATTCAGACAGACAGAAATCTCTATTGGAATGATAACCAGTTCAAGACACAAAAATAAAGATTGTACTGACCTGACGTTCATGCATTGCTATCCTCCTAGCCTTAAAATATCAGCTGGGTGCTTTTCAGGTTTGAAGACAGTGTCAGGTTGAACGCTTTTTTTTTTTTGTTAGTGATCTCAGATATGTTTATATGAATGTGCACATGGTACATGTTTCCCAACATTTTAGATAATGAACACTTTTGAGTTCCAGTTCTCCCATTATTTATACTACTGTAAATATTATGGTCCTGATACCTTGCAGAATTGAAATCTAGGAGATTAGTCAGAATTTATCAAATTCAACTTCTGGGCACCCAATTTTACTAATTCAAAGGTCTGTGTCCACGCCAAGGGGAAGAATCAAATGTAATCTAAGGCAGGCTCCATTAATATGGATGTGCTACCTCAGACTCAGAGCCCCAGAAAGCACTCTGGGGAGCTGCAGGAGGCCTCCCAGAGGCTAATTAGTTTGAATTAGTGGCACTAGACCATCCACACTAACATTATTTCTGACGTACAAGTTTGGGAATAGCATTATTCCTCATGAACAGCTGAACTACAGAGTTCAAATTCTGTGTCCCCTTATACCAGAATAACGGGCTTGCTATTGCTAGTGTGGACACATCACTTACAAATTCAACCTTGGGGGGCTAAGGTCCTATTGTAGACAAGGTGTAAGAGTTTTTGTCATTAACTTTAGTGGTTGCCAGATTGAGCCTTTTCTTTAGAGCCATGTTCTCATCTTGAATAGACATATTAACTGAATTGGGAAAATCAGCATGCATAACAAAGACCAGAATTTGTCCCTTGTTAATTAATATTTCTCTAGTATTGAGTTGTTCTGTTAGTGCATAAAGAAAAAAATTCCTCTAGAGCACAGCGACAACATATTTTGATTTGAGTTTTGTTTGGTACAAATCTGAATTGTGAATAAAAGAACAAGGTTAATCATCTTCTAAGCCAGGCATTATTATTAATCATAGTCATAACATCAAGGAAACTACAGTATTTGTCCTTACTCTCCTTCTGCATTTGCTTTAATACGTCTAAATCCCAAAAATAAGTTTAATTTGGATTGCTCTTTAACTAATTAGGTTTTCTGTAATACAAAAACTTTATAATGCAAGTAGAGCATAATACGTTAATTTGAACTCCAGAGCTGAGAGAAAATATTAGTGTTCTATGTGAAAAGAATTAAGGAGTCTTTTACACTGCTTCTACAGTAAACCTCATCATAAATCTATTTCACATTTGTACAATCGACAGAAATTCCTTAAAATTAAATGAACAAGGAAACTTAACTACTACTAATCCTGGAAGAGAAAATCCGTATGGGGTTGATAGTAGCTTAGGAGAATGTACATGCTACAAGCACAGTGAAAGTTAAACTACAAAGATTTGTTCTTACAGGGGAGGCGAGTCTTTCACTAGCTCCACAAACAGAACACATATGAACAGCCTAACTTTAGCCACTGTTAGATATTACCAATGGCACTTCAATATTTTCACATTCACCATTTCACGGAGCAATCTTTATCACCTCCAGCTACTTTCAGAGCTATATTTTCAGAAACATTATTTCTGCAGGACTATTTTAACTGGCTACACTATGGGTACGTCAACACTGCAACGCTATTTTGGGATACCAGAGTATCCCAAAATAGCTATCCCGCATCTTCACAACAAGCCTGTTATTTTGGGCT